TCACGCACGCAGTACGTGTTTACTATAATTAGACATAGTCTTTACCTTGCCGTTTATTCGGTGTTATTTGCTTACTTTACTTCCTATGTCGACAGCAACTATGAGCATAGTGACCTAGTCTCTGTTTGTATTTGATAGGACTAATAAAGTCGCTAGTTACCATGACAGAAAATAACCTGATGGGATTGATAATGCAGTGAGTTACTCTGACAAGGACTAATAGCTTTTTCATGTTTTTTGTTTGTTTTGTTTTTACAGGAATATGGTTGAATGCATTGTCATTTTTTCTCACTTTAGGAGATAAACAAAAATAGGAAGAAAGTTACCTCTCTCATCTTCTCATGGAGCTTAGTGAAAAAATCATTCAAATCACGCTGAAAAAAACAAAAACAATTTTCTTTTTAAATAGAGAATAGTGCCATAGAAAAAGTTGTGATGAAAATGAGTAGCAAAATAAAAATTGGACATACATTACCCAAGTTTACATTAGACGATTGTATGTAACGAGTCAGAATGAAATCTGTGCCAGCCAAGATCAGTTTCAGATTTGGCAGAAATGCTAGAGTTTGATAAATTTTTAAAACTGTTGGCATACATATGTGGAACATGCTTGGCAATGGATGGTAAAATTGGATTTGATTAGTCAATATGTCAGAAATATGGCTACAAATTCATGAAGGATATTAAAAAATATCTCACCATTGCATCATCCATTTCCCCGCTATCAGCCATTTCACTATCATATGCTTGTCTCTTGGCCTAGAGAATGAAACCACATACGTTAATAGTCTGTACAATTCAATAACTACTATTAGCCATTATTATTATAGTAATTTGAATTACACACTAAATGATCAAAACACGTTTCTAGATGGAATCACCATACTGCACACGTTTCTAGATGGAATCACCATACTGCACACGTTTCTAGATGGAATCACCATACTGCACACGTTTCTAGATGCAATCACCATACTGCACACATTTCTAGTTGTAATCACTATACTGCACACGTTTCTAGATGTAATCACCAGACTGCACGTTTCTAGATGTAATCACCATACTGCACATGTTTCTAGATGGAATCACCATACTGCACACGTTTCTAGATGGAATCACCATACTGCACATGTTTCTAGATGGAATTACCATACTGCACACGTTTCTAGATGGAATCACTATACTGCACATGTTTCTAGATGGAATCACTATACTGCACATGTTTCTAGATGGAATCACCATACTGCACACGTTTCTAGATGGAATTCACCATACTGCACACGTTTCTAGATGGAATCACCATACTGCACACGTTTCTAGATGGAATCACCAACTGCACACGTTTCTAGATGGAATCACCAGACTGCACACGTTTCTAGATGGAATCACCAGACTGCACACGTTTCTAGATGGAATCACCATACTGCACACGTTTCTAGATGGAATCACCATACTGCACATGTTTCTAGATGGAATTACCATACTGCACACGTTTCTAGATGGAATCACTATACTGCACATGTTTCTAGATGGAATCACTATACTGCACATGTTTCTAGATGGAATCACCATACTGCACATGTTTCTAGATGGAATCACCAGACTGCACACGTTTCTAGATGGAATCACCATACTGCACACGTTTCTAGATGGAAT